GATGACCCTGAAAAGCACAGCAGACGAGGGCAAGGTTATGGGGCAGATGTAAGTCCTGCCTGGTGCCCTGACAGTGAAGGCAGGCCTGGCCCAGTGCCTGGCGACACCCTCATAGGTGGGCGTGTCCCTTATGAAGGCAAGTGTCCGTCCAAGGCTGGAACCTCTGCTTGGTGTTCGGAGCTTCTCCCACACCTGCTGTTGCTTACGAGTAGCCAGCATAACATAGTCCCCATCCAGAGAGGCATATTTTGGGGTGGTAAACTTAGCTCACCTTATTTGTATTGAAAGGGGACATGACTAGCGAAGGTCATGCCAAAAATATAATGTATACTTATCTTCATTGTGTGGGTGGAGAATCTAAGGAACTGTAAAATGACCATTGAAACAAATAGCAGGAATAAAGAATGGCCCACGAGCGTGTTTCTGCTCCGTGATCGGTTTCTGATTCAATGGTGTTGCAGGCTGCAGGTATTTGAGTCTAGAGTGACTGATTCTGCTCACATTTTCTGTCTCAAGATTATTGCCCACATATTATGAGTTTATTTATTGAAATTATCTGTATCAGGAGTGGCATCGAAGTCTATCATTTTATCTTGCCAGTTGCCAGTTTTTATAGATCATTTTTGGCGTACGCTGTTACACGTGAAACAGAATTGTCCTGCAATTGAATACGTTGGGGTACCGCGGCATCTCTGACAATGCATTTGTTTCTTTACTTATCGCTTCTCGTCGGCCTCATTCGAAGACGGGTTTGAGCCACCACTCTCCTTGTGTTCACTCTCTGATTCTCGGCCTCTCCACGCACGGAAGTAACGCAAGGCCATGCTGCATCCCTTCTCCTTTCTCCGTATCTGACCCAGGTCTGTTTGTGTTGCTTTGCTCTGGGGAGGCATCTTCTGCTATTTTAGTCTGTTCCTCTTCCTCTTCCCCTTCCTTCCTTCCTTCCTTTCTTCCTTCCTCTCTCCCTCCCTCCCTCCCTTCCTCCTCCTCCTCCTTCTTTTTTCTTTCTTTTGTGCATGGGAAATTGGACTCATGCTTTCATTTGAAAAAAGTTGCATATTGCCTGCGGTACTGCTCTCTCTCCTAGTTATACCAAAGTAGGTTAGGAGGAGAGGAGGGCAGGAGCCCCTGGGCACTGGCTGAACAGTACTGGCGTGGCCTCAGTGGGACATGGGCGGATCGCCCATTCTGTTTGGGTCACGTTCTCTTTTTTAATGACCTAGAGTGGTGATTTGCAACTGGTGTGCTGCAAGAAGTTCTAAAACACGCAACACCTGACTATTTAGTCATGGGCACTGATCTGTTTCCCCTTAGATTGTCAAATACAAAAAATGACAACAGCCAGCACAACAACAGCCGTCCAATGGGAATGCCCTGTGTGAACCATAAGTAAACAGGTCATTTAATCCAGTTGCATCTTATTGGTCATGTCGCATAATAAGGTTGCATCTGATTGGTTAATTCTTGGTGCAAGACATCCTAATATACAAGTATAGGCACTTGAGTTTTTAAAAAGTCTTTTTGGAGCATAAAAGGATAGGTAATAACTATCACTATTGTGGTTTTTTTTTTTTTGGAATTTGATCAAAATTACTCCTATTTTTTGTCAGGTGAGCAAAAAATAAGAGTTTTTGGTGTGCTGCAGAGTTTCAGTAATGGGTTTACGTGTGCGGTGAGATGGAAGAGGCTGAACAGTGCCGGCCCAGGGTACAAACGGTTGAGCTTCGCGGCCCAAAACATGGGGCCTCCTCTTCTTGGTGAGAGCCTCAGAGCTCTGGCTTTGAATGGAGCCCATCAGAGGGCCTCTGCGGCGGGGCTCCGAGCGTGGGTTCAGCCCCTGCAGCCTTGGCTCTCTCCTGCGGGAAGCAATGCCAAGAGCCAATGCCAAGAGCGTCGCCCTGCTCCTGCACTCGTGTTGATCCTGTTAGAGCAAGTTCTTGCCGCAGCAGTGTCTTGTGAAAGAGGAAGGGCAGGTGGGATCACGGCCAGGCTGACTTCGTAGCCAGAAAGGGACATGCGGGTCATTGGTTTGGACTCCGAGGACTTGTCACAGCGAGTGACTCAGCAGAGTTGGCCTGGAAGGCCTGGCTCTGCGAGCTGAAGAGGAGAAGCGCGTCTGCACTTACTCTGCCCATGACCCTCACCCAAAGGACTGTCACTGCTGCTTCCTCCATTACGGACATTTGGTGCCCAGTGAAGAAAAACTGACCAAGTTCGTAACACGTTCTCCCATTTTGAGTTCTTACTTTTTCTAGAAAGCAGGGGCCATACCTTTCCTGTCATCCAGCCCCACACAGGCTCAGCAAGTGCCCTCCACTGGGTTGAATGGTCCGGGGGGAGGGGTGGCCTCGCCCACTGTCGGGCGCTGGCAGGTGGAGCCGCCCCGTGCAGGCCAAAGGTCTCCCTGAGTCGCCCGTCGTCCGTCAGCAGAAGCACCCCTCTTTTCTTGAATTTACTGATACTCATTTAACATGTTCTGTTTTCCTCCTTATTTGTGTTTCTCTCATCTTCCTATGCTCTGGGGAGACCCTGGACTTGGAGAAATCCTCAAATCCACAAGCAGATGACAACTGTAGTTCTCACATTAAATGAAGTGTGACTGGCGAGGCCCAAGAGACCACTTTGGACCCTCACTGGTGGTCAAAGGAGGACGGAAGCCGTGAGCTCTGACTTTACATCAAACTGATATAAACACATAATCCACAATGCACCGTGTCACGCAAGGCTTGACTGCACTGTGTTTGCGGGCACTTCTGCCCCCCCGCGTCACTGCCCCAGGGCTGGCAGTTGGTAAAACAGGTGTGACTTGATCCTGAGAACTGCCACAGAGCCCCAAGAAGAGTCCTCTGGTCCCCGGCCAACTTCAACTTTCCCGTCGGCCACGCCCTCCCAGATACGTGAGGGGACGGACGCTGCCTTTTCTCTGAGGGCAGCTTGGCTCGGGCTGGACTCCTGTTCTAGCCCCACCTGGAGAGGGGCGCCTTTGCGTTCACGCCTAGGCGGTCTCCTCTCCTGAGCCAGTGTGCGTGGTCCGTGGCTGTGTGCGCTCAGCAGCCTTGGGACTCCTCCTTCCCCCCTGCCTCCCAGGGCGGGTGATGCAAGTTCATGCTCATACCTCCTGTGACTGTGAGTTTAGGACCTGCTGGGTGATTCACGAGTAATCACAACTCCGAGGCGGTGTCAGTGAAAGCCAACAGTCATCGCTATGCTGTCCCTTTAACCTCAGATTAAGCGCCTGCTTCCTCAGGATCAAATCACACTGATTTGCGGTATACTTGCGCATGTCCCACACAGTGCCTTTCACACGTGATTCAAGGGACTGGACAGTAATTAAGTGTGAAAGTATGTGGTCAGAGCTACTGTTAGTTCCGGAAGAGGAGAGTGGGGTGAGGCTGGCGTGAGGAGGCTGGTGTGAACCACTGGCTGGCTGTAGCGCAGTTTCAGAACCAGAGTGGGAGGACCATCTGCCCTTACCTTGTTTGTCTAAAAATTACTTATGTGTCTGGGTCTGCATGTGCCAGGTATTGCACCAGGTGCCAGGGCGACAGTCACGGACATGACAGATGGAACCCCTGTCCTCAGGACTCTCCCCACGCACTGGTGGAAATACAACTTGGGCGGCGCTCAGTGGGAAGATGGAGACCGCGGGGTGGGGGTGTGGGTGGGCCTTTCAGACCGGAGCCCACATCTTGGGGTGGAGGAAGTCATGTCGGGGGGAGGAAAGCGCGGGGGCTGAGATGCAGACTGAGGCTGGAGCTGCAGGCCCACGGGGTGGCTCTGGCAGGAACTGAGGGGAACGGGGAGAGGGAAGATGTCGGGGATTCGCCAGTGCAGGGTTTGCGGGGGACCCACCACTGACACGTTTGTGTTGCTGCACCATCTACCTCCCTTCATCGCCACCGCTACCGACCGCGGGCCCAGCATGTGGCAGCACACAGTGTGTGTGACTGTGTGTGTGCTGGGTGAGCTGACACTTAATTTGAATGGGAAACAAGTCCTCCTCTGGAAAAATGGACCTTTGTGTTAGAAGGACGGTCCAGAGAAGATGCTTGTATTCCCGTCGTCCTCCTTCCTGCTCCCCAAGCCGTGCCCTCCGTCTGCCCGGGCTCTGCAGCTGCGGCCGGCCCATGCGTGTGGCAGGAGGGAGGTCCCCGAGTTCCCACGAGGCTCAGGGTCTGTTGGAGAGCTCCACCTCTTTCATTACCTCTAGTCTTGCCTGCGTGCGCCTGGGCACTGTGGTCTTTCCCTTGGAAAAGACTCAGATAATTTTTTTCCTCCCTCTGTGTTAGTCACTCGGCAACGGGGCCCACCTGTCATTCCCCCCCTACATCGTGCCCATCCTTGGTTTGTTTTACCATTAAGGCAGCTAAAAGCCCTGGAGTGTAGAACTGAGCTCTTCCTCTTTGCTTCTGTTCCCCGTCATGGATGTAGCCAAGTTACTATGGCACCTGCTTGCTTTTCTTTTCCTTCTGACTGGAAGGTAAGTTCTGTAAGAGGCAGGGGACTCACCTGTCCACCGGCTGTACCCTCTCTGTACTGGGCAGGCTCACAGAGAGCTTTCCGAAGATGCCTTATCATCTGTGGTGTAATGGCGAATGTTCACACCTGGGCCCAAGAGGTCAAAGGGGTAGAACTCAAGAAAAAAGAGATTAGATAAAAATGAACAAGAGCAATTTTGAGAGCTTTCCAGAAAAGCAAAGAGGATGTTGTCAAAGGATGAAAAATATCTGCCTATTACTCTTAACGCTATCAGAATAACCCAGAACAGACACCTTACTGCGGGAGACGGCTTCTCCACACTTTCAAGAAGGCTCTGGAAAGCAAAGGGGTGTGGTGTTTTCGTCCCCGTCGGGGCCGCGTTGCACTCATGTTGTTGTCTGTGACTTCTGGAGCACACTATTTGGTTAAATAAACTGGCTACTTCCTTGATCTCATTTGCTTGGAAGAAGAATATCTATTATGATTTTTTTAGTCTGTCTCTCTGTGTGTCCTTGGAACAGCATCCCGGTGGGGAGGAAGTCTTACGGGAACAAGCTGGGAGCGATGCTACCGAGAACTTCGAGGACATCGGGCACTCTACGGATGCCAGAGAGTTGTCCAAAACATTCATCATCGGGGAACTGCATCCAGTAAGTAGCCCGCAAAGCTCCGTCACGCAACAAGGTGTGTCTTGTCATGGCGGCGCACGAAGGGGAGGCCGTGGCAGGCTCGCCGGGGGGCAGCCTGAGGACGGGGCCTTTCACAGCCTTCCCGTCTTTCCATTGGGTGGGCTTTCAGTGGAAGGAGATGGCGCTTTGAGAAAATAAGCTTCATTTATCTGGAAGTTTTATTCGCCCATATACCTCCATCTTCGTCCTTCACCAAAGGGGTGACCAGAGGTCAGTTTTTTACCATCACCAGAGGGGCCTCCCTTTACACGTTCCTCCTTGTCCCTTGTCTCATTCTGAGGGTAGAGTGGTGGGTTTTCAGGCCAGGCCAGCAGCATTTTTGTCTCATCTGCTTATTGGGCTCACTAGTGGTCAGCCTTTAGACACACTTGACCTTGAACTGACTCAGCTGAGGGTTTAAGTAGATTATGACCCTACGACTGGGAGATCGCAGGAATTTACTGAGGATATCACACAAGTTATACACACACACTTAGACCTGCACAGAGCCACACAATGCATGTACATGTACACACCTACACACACACACCTGCACACACATATGTCCCTAATGGCGGTTTGAGAGGTGAGACGGGAAGGACCTGGTTACCCAGCTGCCCCCTGAAATGCGAGAGGAGCCCGAGCCTGATCCGTGCTTGTGCTCACCCACACATCCCTGCGACTCCCAGGGATGCTGTCTGACCTTCGGGACTCTGGGCCAGACCGCCTCTCGGCACTTCGTCTGAGAGTCGTCTTCGCAGTCAAGTCAGAAGGCTCAGACATGTTTAACGACCTACACAGTGACCCTAAAGTGATAATCACTGAACAGGAGTGTTTTTTAGAAGTCTCAGAGGAAGCGAGTACTTCGGAGACAGTACTTCTGTAGACATTCTGTAATGTGCCTTGTTTTTCATTGCAGGATGACAGGGCAAAGGTACAGAAGCCTGCGGTAAGTGTGACCCTCTCGAGTGTCTCATGGGCTCTAGTCATCACCCCTGGGTATCACCCCGTCAAAGCGGAGGGCAAAGGTCTCCCACCAGCCTGACCGAGGCAGGTGTGCCGCCAGGTTGGAGAACATGGAGTCTGCCAGGCTGGCTCAGCATACCTTCCTGTTCACATAGTCGGTCTTGGTGTTTCGTTAGGGGAGTTGTGTGTTCTCTTCATGAGACTCAGTACTTAAAATCCCTTTCCCATCATGATTACCAATGGATACCTGTGGAAGAGCTCCTTTTTATAACTAGCACCACGCTTCTGCAGTGGAGGATTTGACACAGCATTATTTTCAGAGAGCTTAAAATGGAGCAGAGGTCTTCATACTTAAGCCTTTGAGGACACAACCCCTGTCTTCATCCCCACGTCTCTGGGACATGGTAGATGTTTGGTAAATACTTCCTGGCTAAATGTAATGTTCAAATTCCATAGTAACTTCTTGATGCATTTTTCCTAGGAAAGGAAAGTAATTCTAGTAATACTAGTTGTGCGCCCCAGTCCTTGGGCCCCTCTCTCTGAGCTGGCTGCCTTGCTCACATTTGGAGATGAATCTGCAGTAAGAAGGGGTGACAGCAGCCAGAGTTCCTCAACAGTGTGAGCAGGAAATAGTTCTTGGCCTGTAGTTAAAGGGCTGTGGGGAAGTTTGCTTAAAACAAGTGACAGAATGTGTCACTTTTCTGTGTCGAGTGGCATCTGTCGTTTTATTAGAGCATAAGAGTAAGACAGCACAGAGCTCATCTGAAGATCTTGTGAACTCATATGCTAGTGGCTGCTGACAAGACATTGTCTAAATTTAATCTGCAAGAAAATCCAGCAATGAATCCAGCAAAGCGTGAAGGCGCCATTGACCTTGGCCCCCCAGATAGAACAACAAAGGTCTGCATGATGCAGTTTTATCACGTTCTCCCCTTTGCTGATTCAGGGAAGCCTCAGATCAATGTTGCTGATCCCAGTACTTCAGGAAGATAAAAAATGGACTTTAGACTTTGAATTGACTCTGTAATGATTGCAGAGAATCTTTGCAGTTGGTTTATATGGCTTCAGTACCTTTTCTAAGGCTACTTTTTAAACCGCTGAAATTCCAGGGTGCATTGAAGCCTTTGCTTTTTCTCTGAAGCCAGTCAAGAAAAAAGTGTATATTCTTCTGTAAGGAATTCTGTATTGAACAGTCTTGGTGCAAATCATTCAGCGATCATCAAACAAGGATTTGGTAAGGCTCATTGTGTGAACTTAGATCTAATGCAGGGCCGACCGTGCCTTGACCCAGGACACCCATGAGCAGAAGGCACCATTCGGGGCTGCAGTCTTGTGTCGCCAGGCCTGATTTCTGAATGATGGACTCTCTTCTCCTCTGTTTACTCTTAGAGCCCATGTAACTCTGCTTTCTTACAGCAGAACAGGAGGGAGGTGGGACAAGAACTTGCCCTTTTTCTTATAGGCCGTAAGCACACCCTGCATGCAGAAGAAAACACATGACCCCTTTTGTAAACCGCACCCCTGGTTTACCAGAAGAAGAGCGTGACCTCAGAGGCTGCTTTTGTTGCGTGTGCCTGTGTGACCGTCCGTCTGCAGACTCACCAGTGAATGCTGGGGTCTGAAGTTACGGAGTGTTGCCTCCTTAAAACACCGACACAGTTGAATTGTGACATCAGGTGCACCGAAGATTATTAGCTCGAATGTGCCCAAAGGAAAGCGTGATGCAGGTTCCCAGAGTAAGGTCTCTACAGGCATAGAAATAACGTGCTTTAAATGTGCCCATATCTACCAGGTTGCTCCTGTGGAAGATTTTATGATCGGAAGTACCTTTTCTTGGTCGTAGTTTTCACAGCACTGCTGTATGTATAACTTTACCTGGTTCTCACGGCAGCCCTGTGGGACCTGGGGCTGGAGAAGACAGTGGTACTCAGACCTTGTTCCGAGCCTTGACCTTGCAGCCCCACGGCCAGCAGCCACTGCAGGTTTGCCAGTTGCAGTCCGGAAGCGTAGGTAGGCTCTAGACTTTGCATGAAAAGGCGTCAATCTGTCAGTAGTATTCCTAGGGACGAGTTCAATGAAAGAACGGGCTAAGTCGGGTGAGCTGATTAATGAGATGACTTTGATTTGCCAGATCTCGATGGGCTTTGCAGGCTTTTCTATAGAGCTCATCACATACTGTTTTAGTTGTTAGCCCACTTGAGATGGAGCCCCTCAGGGTCACGGAGCGAGCAGGCGGCAGAGCCTGTAGGGCAAACCATGGCGTTTTCTCCGCATTCATCATTGACCTGCTGGTTAGGTGCACACCCAAAGCCCAGACTAGCCCCTTCGCAGTAAGGACAGGAGAGACCACTTCCCTTTGCACCAAAGCACTGATCAGAAATGCAAACCTGCTTTGACTCAAGCATCCTGGGTTAAGCGCCTGACAGACACCAAGCAATCAATGTACGTGATGTTTAACATTCAGCTCTTTCCAAGGTCGCCGTTGCTGCCGATGGCGACCACGATGCACCTGCAGTGGCTTAGCCTCGGTGCTCAGGTGCACCCGAGGCGGGGCGGGGCCAGGCAGTTGAGGTTCCGGACTTGTCAGCATGTTCAGCAGAACGCATGTGCCTGGGCTCGGCCTAACAAAGTAACAGTGCATGTCTGCCCGCTGTTTGCCAGTTCAGGCATAACTCTCTAGCGTGACAATGTTTTACCGTCCATGAACTATTGGGTTTCAGAGCTGATTGTCTCTTTCCTCTAATAGCTAAACGATATTTTTGCATATTTCAGTTACTTCAAAGCATCTTTGTTAATCTTACTTGTAATATGGCAAATTTGAAAAACAGCCTTGCAGTAGTTGTGAATACCTTTTTGTAGTCTCTGGGATTGACCGTGGCTCCCAAAGCCCATAATAACTGTCAAGTTTTCTTTTTCGACGACATGTCTTCTCCCCGCTCCTGTGTCAGGAATGTTAATGGCCGCGTCCCCAGGTTGGTGGGCTGCAGAACCGCTTTGCTGGCTCGTCCCTCACGGGTCTCTGCCCGTCCAGGGACCTTTCGTGCGCCCTGCTGTGTGGAGCTTTGCCGCAGTGCCGACCCCACGCCCTGCTGTCTGCTTTGCTGATGGCTTTTGTCCCATGCTTTGGGACACTGTGGAGATGAGCTCTGATGTGGCCGCATCACTGACAGGCGCCTTCCTTTGAGGCACTAATGCTTCTGCTGGTGTGGAATTTCAAAACCATGCTTCCTAACACGGTTGTGAGCCTGGAAATGTCTGTATTTCATGAGGCCTTGGTTATTCGGCTGTTTGGGGACGTGTGTGTTTCCCAGAGCCCTCTGGGGTCAGGCTCCTGGTGTTGGCGAGGACTCTCAGAGGCCGCTGGGCGGTGAACAGGCCAGGGCTGAGGAGGGGGGGCCTTGTGCGGGGCATTCTTATTCAGAGGCTCTTGGTGGGTGACAGTGCGGGGTCAGTCCCCAAGGCCTCCGGTGCCTTTCTAGAACTGTCTTGTCAGAGTCAAAGTTTATCCAGAGTGATGCAGTTTAAATGGCAGTTCTCAATTTTTTTCTTTTTTAGTTGGGGACATTGAATGTCTTTTAATAGAATGTCTTTTAATATGATTTGGGGACACTTTTACCTCATGTAAGATCTGAGTGAAAGAAGCGTGTTTAACTGACCACTTTGTCCGTGGTTTTGAAGACTCGGACCCTCCCGCCGAAGGTGGCAGTGGGGTCGTGTGTGCGTGTGAACCGCACCTGCCGCCCTTTCCTGTGTTACAGTATTAGGTGTCTGCACGTGCAGGGCATTTTATGCAGCCTATTCGTTTTTAACAATTTCTTCCAGATTATTTAGGTTGTGTTCCTAAGTAATTTAGATATAGATCTTTCTTAAACATTTTTCTTCTGAAAAAAATGGTGCAATTAGGCATTTTAGTGAAAGGAGCATGTGATGTAATTTTCCCTTCCAGTATCTGTTTGAAGAATGTGTCGTGTGAGACACTGTGGTCTTAGTCCGTTGTTCCCTTTAACTTATTTTACTTTTTCTCTCCATTTCAGGAAACTCTCATCACTACAGTTGACTCTAATTACAGGTATGTGCTAGTTTTCTTTTCAATTGTCCTTGTGATCGGGAGGCTCCTAAACTCAGAGGATGGGGGCCACTTCCTGACCTCGGGACACCCAGGGGTCATCTCCACTCGGCACCCCGACTGCTCAGGGCACTCCTCCCTAAAATGCAGATGGCTCAGACCGCGGACACTCCCCGGAATGACCCCGAATCTCACCCTCCCGCCGTGTCTGCCCTCAGGAGCAGGCGGGACACACCGAGTCTCCTTTCACTCCCCAGCAAATCTTCCTCACGGGTGCACGGTCCGCTCCCCTGCTGCAGTGCTTCCACGGAAGCAGGGTGTGCCCTGGGCCTCGAAACCGCACTCAGCCCTCCACGTGTGGCGTGCATCGCTTGTCCTGTGGCCAGATAGCTCTACGTTAGTCCAAGATCGCAGGAACATTTTTGGCAGCTCTGTTATATTGACTTGCGTAATTGCCATCAGATAGTTATATTTTGGGGGCCCGAGCTCCACCCCACAACCCCAGATTGACGCAGATGTTGCTTCGCCCTGTGGAAGGCGACTGCCCTGTCTCCCACCTTCCCAACCTCTGGGCAGTGGTCCACCTTCCTCTTCACTGTCACACAGCTTCTCCCGGAAGGGACACTGAAAGCCCCCCCAAGATGCAAAGTCCCCTGGAACCCTCCTGGTCTTCGAATGGGTGGGTGTGCGCAGAGAGATAAAGGACGGACAGGATGTGACAGAAAGTGGGTGTGTCCCTGGGTGTTGTCTGGCTTGTTCAGGTTCTGGAACCCGTATATTAATTCCTCTTTCCTAAGAAATGACAGGTGCCAATCGAGCTCTGTCCCCGATCTGACCTGTAATTCTGTGCCTCGGGACTGAGCAGTATGTCCAGGAGGGATTTCGTGAACCTCCACCCGTGGGCCGCAGATCAGGTGGTCTGGGCACACTGTGAACCCGGCAAGTGTACGCCATGTGTGTAAAGATCAGATTTTCAACCCAGAGTCACCGGCAGCAGACCGGCGGTGCTGGTGGCGACCTCGGTCACCATCCGGGGTGGAGCCCTCACCCCTCTCCCAGCTCAGGGCCTGCACCTGCCCTGGGCTGCGGGGCTTGCCCACGGCTCTCCCAGAATGGAGGCCTCAGCCCTCTGGTTCTCAGTTTAGTGCCATTTTAAGTTTTTAACAAATACGCGGCACTAGAATAAAGCCTGTGGGGAGTACTCCCTTTGGGAGCTGGTGACATGTACCCAGACTTGATGTCCTTTAGGTAAGTCCCTAGTCCTGGCTCGTAGCAGCTTTTGGGGGAGTGGCTCCTAGCTCTTTGTACAAGTTCACACAAGTAGATGTAAGTGGAGGTGAGGGGTAGCCATCTGCTTTCTCATAAGACAAGAGTGATACAGGAGTTGCCAGGACAGGTACCAGCCTGCATCACTTTCGGCAGGAGTCCCTTTTTCACCCAGAGAGGTAGAGAGGTGATTTCACAATGCTTACACGGTGTGCAGATGCTGAGCTGAGAGCACCGTGTGAGCCTCATTGCTGTGCATTTCCAGCTGGTGGACCAACTGGGCGATCCCGGCCATCTCTGCGCTGGCCGTGGGCCTGATGTACCACTTCTACATGGCGGAAGACTAACCCCGTCCTCAGAAGCCAATGGAAGGACGATGGCTTTGGCTCGGGAAGAACGAGGCCTGAGTTCATTGCTTCAGCCGACAGAAATCTTCCCCTGAAGTAATTTCACCCTCACAGCCTGTTTCCCTTCCTCCCACACGAGACACAAAACAAGCCCAAAGGAACCGTTCTCCTCTCTCTGCTCTCGAGCTTTTTGTAATTCATCAGCTTTATGTTGCTGTTCCGTGGCTCCATCATTTACTTACTGTAGGCGCAGGTGTGACCTTGTAGAAATATATCTGGCTTTTCAAATACAATACCATGTGTGCCTGTCAACTGGGTATGTAACTGCCTTTAATGTTCAGAATCTCTGGTTGCTTAGTGAGTCCTTTAATGTGCTGGTCATTCAGGCCCATGTGGTCTGTACGGTGTGAGGAAGGGAGGGAATTCCAAGCCGAGCAATTTGGTATGGCATGTTCCCGGTCTAGGTTCTTTTTCAAGGAGACCGAGAAAGGCCCTGGACATGGTAGAGTAAAGATTTCTAAAACATTGTTCTTGCTGAGATAAATGGTCAAACGAGAAAGGGGCCTGTGTTGTAGGTCATAGAGAAGAGACCGTGTCTCTTCTTCAAGTCAGAAGCACCAGCAACAGACAGGCAGACGCACGTGAGCTGAGAGAGGACATTACAGCGGTCTCTTCTCTCGGCTCAGATATCATCACTGTGGAAAAATTTTTGGTAGTACAGGTTCTCAACTTTAAAAATTGCTCATTTGGAGGCAAAACCTGTTTGTGTGTTCTTACAAGGAAACGCCCATGTCCTCACCCATAAAAACACTCACTCGAAAGCGATGGTGGGACATTTGGGGTCCGATGTTGGAGGACACTGCACAGTGGGTGGTGAGCCAGGTGACCGTGGCGAGGCTCACCCTCGACTGCCTTCCCCGCCCCGGGCCTTTTCCACCGTGGAGGCCGGGGGTCAAGTCCGTGGTTGTCAGCGCTCCGTGGCTAGCTGTGATTCTGCAAGTGTCCACGGGCGTGCTGGCCACCACCGCGCCGGGCTCTTCAGAAATCACTGACGTGTTGGGGAGGGATTGTTTCCTCATCAGAGTACAGATTTGTGTGACTGTTGACTCGTGTCCCCTCTGCCTTCTGTCACTGAAGGTCAGAGTTAGAGTAGATGTCGGGGGTGGGGACAGGTGCTGTGTCACATGGGAAAATGCCCTGCAGAGGAATCCTTGAATCAGATTTCAATAAACATGTGCCTGGAACAAAAAACGTGCCTCCTGTGATGGCCGTGACGTGCTCTGACGTGCGCCTCTGAGGTTGGGGACAGCCGTTGACTCGGGGTGCGCGGGCTCCGACACAGATGTGCTGTTGCGACTTCACCACGGGCAGCTCAGACTGAAAGTGACTGTCAGGACCCCGCGCTGCTTTTCGATGCTCGCACGTTGAGGATTTCCACGGGAGGTGCCTCCGTGTTCCCTTCGGGCGCGGAGGGTGCTTGGTCCACTGCCCGAGACGCGTTTGTCAGCGTGACTGTGGAGGGCGCGTCTGGAAGAGGAGCAGTAGAACCAAAGGGATCGAAGCAGGAAATGCCTGAGCCACTGGGGCTGTGAGCTGAAGCCACGCCCTGTGCACCGTTGCTAGTGGGACCTCATGGCGTCACTGTGGGAGATGGGGGAGCTCCTGGTAGCTCAAAAACGTTGCCTTGAGTACATGCTCATTTTAAAATTATGCCAGGGGAGGTATTTCTTCTTTTGATTCATTTACCATTTATTTATCTCTAAAAGAAGTTTAGCTGTGACATTGCTTTGGTTTGTCAAAGTACTTCCTCCAGAACTTGCATTAACACCGGAAGTTACGACGGTAATTTTATTATTTGTCTTGTATTACTCTTTGGGTTAATGGAACTGTTGGTGAGCACAACTGAATATAGTATAACTACAACTTATACGGTTACTCTGTTTATGCATAATGCCATTACCGTTTTTATTAACGGACACTTTGGGGCACTCACTGGGCTCCAGACCCTGTCCCCTGCCATCAGCACAGACCGTGTCCCCTTGTCTGCACAATCACTGCCCAACTCTCGCTCTGCGACGGCCAGACCAGGGTCCAACCTAAATTGGGGCGAGTCCAAACGTGCTTCCTCTGACGGCAAGGGTCCCCGTGGGGTCGCCCGCACGATGGCAGACTCCTGCCGGAGCAGGTACTGTGGGCAGATGGGAGCATGCGTGGGAGGTGTGTCCCGGGGGCTTCCGTCTCCTCACGGAGGTGAGCGCTCGTGCAACTACCGTTAGAGGAGGGAGCCACAGAGCAAGTCCCAGGTGCTGCCTTCCCCGCAAAGGCCCCTGCACCACCAGGTTCCCTGCAGCACCGCGGCCTGGGCGTTCTGTTGCCAGGTCCTCACTCAACTCTTTATTCCCCTCACTCTGCATCCCTCCTGCCCACGTGGTCGCATGGGTACGTGCTTAGAATGAAGCAGGATCCGAGAAACAGGAGCTGCACTCTGGAGTGAAGGTAATTTGTATTTCACCGTAACTTACTAAGCCTGTGATTTTAGCTCTAAAGCTTGAAATTTTAGTACTTTTAACAACACTGGTCCTGAGTCACCTTTGAAATGAATTGAAGTGGGCGTACCCAATTCTAGAGACTAAAGGACTGGTTTGTAAATGATTTTGAAGGTGTTCAGCTTTTGCCTTGATTGGTGTGGCTCAGTGGATGGAGCGTCAGCCTGTGAACTGGAAGGTCACTGGTTCCGTTCCCAGTCCGGGCACCTGCCTGGGTTGTGGGCCAGTTTCCCGGCTGGGGGCACATGAGAGGTAACCAGTCAATGTATCTCTCACACATCAGTGTTTCTCTCTACCTCTCCTTCCCTCCCCCTCTTTCTGAAAAATAAACAAAATTTTTTTTTTAAGTCTAGCTTTTTTTTTAAAATGAGCCTTTTATTTTTTTTTTAAAGATTTTATTTATTTATCTTTATAGGGGAAAGGAAGAAGAGAGAGAGAGAAACATCAATGTATGGTTGCATCTCGTGTGTCCCCTGCTGGGACCTGGCCTGCAACCCAGGCATGTGCCCTGACTGGGAATTGAACCGCAACCCTCTGGTTCGCAGGCCCATGCTCAATCTACTGAGCTACACCGGCCAGGTAAGTCTAGCTTTTGAGAACCATAACAACTTTGTTTGGACACTTTTACTGATAACTTCAACCATTTGCTGCTTCGTCAATATTTCTTCATTTGTTGTGGAAACAAGGAGAAAGACATAGTTTTGACCTATTTTGTGCAAGCAGAATTTCTAGCAAGGAATGATATTCGATATTTTTTTCTCTTCATTCTCAAGAAGCTGAGGCTGCCTCCTCCCTCATTTTTGGTTCTTAACTTCTGGTAGGCAGGCGGTCACCCCGGCTGGAGCCATTGTCCCGTCCCAGGACCCAGGACCGCTCCTCCGCCCCCACTCTCCGCCCTGCTTTTGAGTCCGGGGACCTGCTCTCTTCGGGCCCTCCCTTCAGGAGTGTCTGGGCAGCATCCAGTGCGACCCCATGGAGGGCAGACTTCCTTGGGGTCTGCAGGCCCAGACGCTGTTCGGGGAATTGATTGCCAGACCCTCCGCTGCAGCATGGACTCGTGTTCCCAAGTGGTCCCCTCAAAAGTGCTGCAGGGTCAGCGGCCTGGAACGGAATCTTTTAGCGCACAGCTTTGGAGCCAGAAGTCCACGCTCTCGGAGGCTCCAGCCAGGGCCCTGGTGGTAGCCCTCAGTCCCTGGTGTGCGGCTGCGTCCCTCCGGTCTCTGCCTGCTTGTCACAGGTGCTTTTCTTCCTCTGTGTCTGTCTCTTGCAAAGACAACAGCCGCTTTGGATTAGAGCCCACTCCAGGGTGACCTCCCCTGAACTAGGGATGTCTCCAGCAATGTGCCCTAAATCAGGGCACGTTCTGAGCTCAGCATGTGCGGGGGAGGGGAAGGTAGGACGTCCCATCTCTCTGGGGAGCAGGACTGCACGGTTGGTAAAACCCATCTCTGTGAGGGGCCAGAAGGCCCACTGGCTCTTCTTGGCTCCTGTTTTAACTCACAGTCGCTCTTCTTTTCAGAAAGGACGCGTTTTTCTCACCTGCCCCGGATTTTAACGTTGGGCATTGCTCCGGCATGTAAACTTCCGTCAAACAAAGCTGAGCTGGAAATATTGGGCCTAGGAGCCTTGCTCTCCTGGGGCAGCTTCCTCCAGCGGGGTGCTCCAACCTCAGGCAGGGCTCTCCCGCTGTGAAGTTTGGCGAAGGCATCGGGCCCGTTTTGAGTTCAGATGTACTAGGAAGGCGGCGGTGGGGGCAATGCATTTCATGGTGTCCGTTCTGCACTTCCACTGTCTCAGAAGGCCCCTGTCCTGAGGAATGGTCCTGTCAGGCCGGCAGCAAGGGATCTGTGCGTGGAGGCGTGTCTGTGATACAGAGATCTGCAGAGTCAAAGTGGACATTTCTCATCTTCCTGGTATGTATAAAATAGGTACATGTCACAGGGTGCCAGAGACTTTCAGCCATCACAGCATTTTCCCTTCAGATAAAGTTCTTGAGAGAAGTAAAAATACAAGGTCAAGGAGAAGGAGGACCAACGTGAGCCTTCTGCCGGTGAAGGACGGGTGGCTAAGCCTGTTCTACCAACGGCCAGCATGGGTGGCCTAGGGCTCTGGTATTTAAATCACAATGGGCACACTTACGAGAGGGATGTTTCAGCTTCCCTTTAAAATGTCAGCCTTTAGAATATGCCCACAGCATGCCTTTGCAGACATTTAGATTCATGATGAAGAACTAGAGGACGAATGAGTTTTGCTTTGACTCTGTTACAGTGTGATCTGTGCAAGCATGTGAAGACTGCGGTCCAGGATGTCTGCCTTCCCCCCACTTTCCTCCCTGCCCCCCCCTTCTCCTCATATCCACGGTTCAGCCATGGCAGGAATTTGAAATGTGATTTTAAAGTAGTGATGTGTATGCTGAGCACAGTTCGTGCCGCCTGCTTGATTTTAACATCAGGCTGCCTGATTTTTCTTATTTCCTTCAAAATATTAGACTGGATTCTGTCGGGAAAAGGCGTTGGCACAGCCTGGCTCACAGGGAGCAGCCGAGGTTTGGGGTCGAAGCGGTACTCTGAGTTGTATTGATATTTTCTGTGGTTTGCACGTCGTTGGTTGGTTGTTGAGACCCCCTCCAGACTCGGACCCGGAGACTTTCAACATGAAATCGATCGATGCTGTTTTTAGGTGAAGGTAAGGCCGGTAAGTCCCTGGTGGCACGAAGCAGGGCCACGCTGAGGACCAGCCGCTCCGTCAGGAAGATGTCGGCCACAC